GACAATCAGTGGGTTTAAAGTCAGTATTATATCAGTCTTCAGTGTAATAATACATTCTGAATCCTCCTGAAATAAGCTGGACCCCACTCTGTCAAGACCTTTAAATCCTCTAAGAGTCAGAAGATTAAGCTTGACACCTTTGGAGTCCTGGCATAAGATGACTCTCAACTAACCCTCTATTTTTAGAATTAGATGATACAGTACTGATTGATGATTTAACTACTAAAACTGAAGTCTGGCACAAATCTCTCTTTTCACAGGAATCAAGCTTTATTTGATGGGATGTCAGCCACAGGGGTCTACTCAGTTCTTCTGCAGCGGACATTGGCAGATCTTACATAAAATCTAAAACACTTATATACATCTTCAGGGCTTATCAGCACAGGCCTAAAGAGTTATCAATTTTTGTACTAGAACAGATTTGGTACACCAATCTACCAGCAGAACAGGTGCATGCCTCTTCCTCAGGGAAGAGAGAAAGCAGTGACATGTTATTTACAATTATTTTCCCCTTTCTTTAAAGACACAGATGTACCATATTTCTCTGGCTTGAAGGTCAGCACTAAACACTGTACAGCTGCGTAAGTGTTTTTAAAAAAAAACAAGCAACCCTCAAACAAGAACAATGAATTACAGGTACTTGAAATAGTATAGAAATTATTTCAGATCAAGAAATAAAGTTCACATTTTGTTCACTTGAGAAGTACTGAAGGACAAAAGGAACAGAGCTAGCTGAAACTACACTGCCTAGAAATCTGAGCTCTAAAACTTCAGTGATAGAAGTATATTGTGCTGTCCCAATAAACAAGGCTTTCCAGGTCTTTCATTATGGAATAAGCACTAACTTACATATTTTAGCTACTCATCAACTGTTTCCCTCCCTTTGAGGATATTAGCCAATTAGAGAAGTAAGCCATAAAAAGTTTCACAAGTCCTCCAAGATCAAGGAACACTTAATTTTTGCAGTGTTACCTTACTGGAAAATAAGTAATTCACTCCTAATATCTTAGAGCAAGAGTATCATATTATATTTAGATTATTTTGTTGAATTGGCAAAGACAGCTAGTCATTAGGATCTGCCAGCAAACAGTATCTAAGAGCAAGCTCTGAAGCAATGGATACCAAGTGCTGTAGGCCATTGCTGCTCAGTTATTTGTTACCCACCTGGTCCGTTTTTGCTGTACCATGAGCTTGCCTTGAAAGAAATTATTTGTTCTGTTATCACAAGAAACAAGTATTTATTTGGCCATTGAAATATTTCATGTGCAATCTTAATAAGGAAGTGTAAAATGTAGAAGTGTAAAGCAGTAGCAGAAGAACATATCTGTGATGCAACCACTAATAACATCACTTCAGTGTCATATTACCTGTCACTAAACACCTTTTTTTGTTGTCTTTCTCAAATGAAACAAAGTAACCAAAATTGCTTCCAAATGAAAAGATTTGTAGTATACTGGAGAGTAAAAATTGTAGGTAGGCAGGGAAGACCAGCACCCGAAGTTAGTAAAGGAAACAAATGTATGTATTTACCTCCTGGAACGCCTTCTGCAGTAACAGCAGTAACAGCAACAGGCTCCTACGGACACCAGAATGAGTCCAGCTACTACAGCTATGGCAATAATTAAAGCCTCAAAGTTTACTGAAAAATATTAATATATTCAACTTGTTAGACTCCAGTATTAATATTTCTCTTTCTCACAATTCTTCCCCTCCTTCCCAAGCATTTTTTCATCTCTGTATGCAAAAAAATCAAAGACAATTCTGTGCAACTACCCCAGTTAAAACTCAGCATGTCACATTTGACTTTTGCTACTATGCGTAATCTACACTGAACAGACATTAAGTAAAATTGCTCTTTACATATACCACATTATTAAAAGTAATCCTGTAATACTTTATATGATATACATCTACTGGTGTGATTCCACAGTTCTGTTGTCCCAATCACAACCTTAGCCAATGTACAGCATGAACAAAAAAGTCCTATAGATACAGCAGCAGTGTACATTCATTACATGCAGCAGTTAAAGAGCAAAATGAAATAAGATGACAATGTCAGAGGATTTGTAGGAACCAATATAAAACTCTCCACAAAACTTACTAAGAAGTTTGTCTCCTATGTCCAAAGAGTCACCTTTTATGTTCAAAGAATGATTAACAAATGGAGGGGGTATTATTTTAACAGCATACACTATAACAACTGTAGCTGGTCTAAACCAGGACAGGACCACACTCATAAAAAAAGAATCAGAAACCTGATGTCCTAGAAAAGAGTGAGGCCCAAGAAGAAAGCAAACAGGGATGATATAAGCAAAGCTGTAGTCACAACTTTGAGGAGTTATTTAAAAGGACCTAACAAAGGACAAAATGAAATCATTCACGGAAGCTCTAACAGCAACAAAAACTAAACACCTCTCCCCACACATACCCCACACTGTCTATTTTAAAGAACAATGGGGAGGATGCAGGGAAGCTGTCTCTTCTCTCACATAAATCCCTGTGAGCTCCGTCAGATTCAGCAGCTTCATGCTGCTGCAGTAATACAAAGTATCTGCACATGCACTTTTCACTGCTTCAGCGTACTAGTGATAAAAGTCAAATTTACGAAAAGAAGTTCAGAGGGTTTGTTCTCTCTGATCACATGCACCAGCCAAAGCGCCTGTTACTTCTCTACAAATCTCACCACCTCCTGTCTGGCCCAATCCATACCCTTCATGGATCTTGCCAAAGATTAGGTCCCAGCAAATATTTTTGCTTTTGTGTTATAATTTCCTGGGCACAGTTTATAATACAGATTAACAGATAGTTTCTTATCATAATACACAAGTAAATTCTGAAAGTAACACATTCTACCATACCACATTTCTCATTCTGTTACTTCCCTACAAGTTATAAGGAATTAAATATACTTCATTCAGTGAAGACAAAAAAGGTTTTAATCTCCATTTCATTTTTTCTAAATTATACTATTTAATTGAAGCAAAAAACCGTATTTTGAACCTATTAACAAAGTGCAGAAAAAGACTGTCAGTTTTCAGTCTGCATTCCTGTCTCCACTATCTATTTTATTTGTTGATTATTCATGAAAAACAATACAATTAAGTTTTGTATTACATTGCTTCTATACTACTCTTTTTACTTCACTGCTGGTTAATAATCTGTCAACATGTCTTATTGCATATAAGATTGTAACTGGAAGCCAGTCATTTGTTTTTGATTTTGAGAGCTGCAGTACTCACCTTCACTTTCAGCAACACTGAGCCAACACTCATCTCTTCATTTTATTTGCAAGAAGAAAAAACACCACCACCACACTCACAAGGCAGTTAATTTTCCTTCTGTGTCTAAAGCCGACGGTCTCAATAAGACTATATATCCCCATGGCATGTTGCTGGATATAATTTGTAAAAAATCTTTAAGAAAATGCATACCTAGGGGGTTTGTGTTGTTTTGGGGTTGGGTTTTTCTCTTTTTGCACTTTTACTTTTTTTTTTTGCTTAGAACATGCTCCATTACAAAGTTTTCATTCTGTCTTTAAGCTACATTCGATCTAGAAACACAAATGGAAAGCTAGAAGCCATTTTTATAGCAGGAAGAAACTGTAAAGAATACCCTTAGTACCAGTAGATACTAGTAATCACTGCTTTGCACAAAGACCTGCATTTCTGTACTGGGTGTGGCTGAGAGTAAACTTTCTTCATAGCAGCTGGCATGATGCTATGTTTTGGATTTCTGGCTAAAACAGTGCTGATAACACACCAATGTTTTGGCTGTTGCTGAACAGGCTTGAAGAACATCAAGATTTTCTTTTTCTCCTCCTCACTCTGTTCCCCCCAGTGAGCAGGGCTGCAGGTAGGGAAGAAAGTGGAGAGGTTAGGAGGGGACACTGCCAGAACAGCTGACCTAAACTGATCAAAGGGGTATTCCACACCATATAATGCCATGATCAGCAATAAATCCTGAGGAAAAGGAAAAATAAATGGAGAGGGTATCTAGCTTCCAAGGTGACTACTGCTTGGGAACTGGCTAGGCATCAGTCTGCCCGTGGGAGGTGATAAGCAATTTTCTTTGCTTGTTTGGTTTTTTTTGCCCCCCTCCCCCTATTTTCTTCACCTATTAAATTGTCTTCATCCCAGTCCATGAGTTTTCTTGCTTTTGTTCTTCCTATTTTCTTCCCCCATCCCACTGGGGCCAGGGGAGGGAGGGAGCAAGCAAGTGTGTGGGTACTTAGCTGTTGGCAGGAGTCAACCCACCACACTTCCAGAAAAGAGTCTGCTAAACATTCCATAGAAATGGTATTTACTATAATATTGAAAGCCCAATTTCCCTAGAAGTGTGTCTTATCAGTGAAGTGATACACCTTCTGTAGCTCTAAAAAAACTCCAGAAGTCTAAGCATAAATACTTTCTCACAAAACAAAGCATAGAGCTCTTCTACTAAGAAGAAGAAATCGGTAAAGTTCGCCTGTACTGTCCAATCTAGTCCCTCTGTTTGCAGGGATTATATGCAGTGGTAACACTCAAATTTGCAGGCTCCATTCTAGCTATCTTCTACCTCTGCTACTCTAATTTAGACAACTCCATAATCTCTCTGCTCTAAGTGTGATAATTTTCTTCTAATTTACAGTTAACATAGTCACTGATAGTTCACCCCCACTTGTTTTTGTCCTTTCCAGCCTCCTGGTGTTCATGAGCAAGTATATAGAAAGCAGCAAGCCTTTCCTTTGCTGGACTGAAGCTGTACTATTACTTCATGCAACAAACCTTCCAATGTCTTATTTGCTCTCTGTTCCAGTCTAGTCTGAAATTAGATCTGTATATACAGCATTGCAAAAATAGCTCCAAAAATTTCACCCCAATGGCAACATGTGTACTGTACTGTATTTGTAATACAACACGCAGAGCAAAAGGAAATCTAAGAACAATTACATGATTTAGTACTCCAACCTACAGTGACACTCTGCAGCTTCCTTTTTAACCTCAACTGCATCGCCTTCAGCACCCAGACCACACTGTTTTTTCAGTTGTTTAAGCAAAAACAGCATTCAAGAATTTTTAGATGGCTCCATTCCTGTGGTATTAGTTCACTGCTGCCACTAGAATATACTATAAAAATTGTGGATCCAGGCATATCATCCAACACTGAGAAATTTTTTAAAAGGTAGGAATGGTTGTCTTTTGCCAACAGGGAATGATCTTATTTCTTTGTACCTCAGAAGTATGGTTTAAGAAACAGGCAAATCCTGGTTGCGTACATAAAACACTCAGAACATTCCAACATCACTGGTTCCCAGTCTAGACTTTACCACCAACAGAACCTCAATAGACAGTAAACGTTTTAAAGCCACTGGATCAGCATAACTATACTGGCTGTTCACAAAGAACCCTTAACAAAGACTGTTTCTAAGTCTAGCAGATTACAGATCATGGTTCCAAATCATAACCACTCCCTCTTCCCCCCATCCCTCCAAATAAGTTATGAGGAAACAGCTCTAATAAACAGTAGTCTTACTTTAATCATACTTATAAATAATGTTCTACAGCAAAAGTAAAATTAGTACCTACTCCAGCAAACTCCCCATCGAGCATTTGAGAGGGAACATAATGAAGATGGTGGAAGAATGCTTCTTACAGGGTAATCAATGCAAGTGTTGTTGGTGTAACACCAAAGGCACTGTGCAAAAGAAACAAAAACCCAAATTACTGATCTTCAAGAACAGTTTACTGCTCCTTCCACAGTCAGAATTCTTAAGTGAGTACAATACTGTACAGATATAGTGAAAGTGCTTTGTAGTATAAAACCTTTAAAAGTCCTGGTATAATTCCCAAGTAAGTCAAAACTGAATTGTAAATACATTTTGCACTTATAGGTAATAAATATTTACATTAGCCTGAAAATATTTGGAAACATATTGAGGTACTCTGTATACTTGAGGACAAAATGGCTTTGTGTTTAGAATTACTGAAATTAACAAGAAATACAAAACCAGAAAGCCAACTGTTCAGAATTTCAAAACACTTGGTATCTTTAAGGAATACAAATATACTTATAATCTTACTTCAGCCCTGTATTTGACTATCAACAGAAAGAAAACAATAAAGAACCCTTACAATTCTACAGGAGGTTTTGTTGCAGGGTAATAAAAGATATAGCCTTATCCAATCTGTCTTGCAAAGTACATTGGGTACCTTAATTGTGTGCACTTATGGATCTGTGTATTTTTTAATTTAAAATTTCTTACATGTATTATAGTTACAATACCAGCACAACATTTCTGCTTTTTATGCCACCACTAAGCATCAAGCTGAAGTTTTATTCTTCATTTGTTAAAATAAACACTCATTCATAATTCCTTTATGACACAACTCAACCAGTGAAGAAGTTTTGCATGACAGTAAAAGGAATCCTTCACAGAACAGGGGGGTTTAGGATTTGTTATAGAAAGAGCTCATTCAGGAACTATGCTTTGTCTAACAGTACTATCAAGAACATCTGTCATACATCCTCAGTTGCACAAAGTCTATTATCTTTCTCTAAACGGTTAGAAAATGTTAAATACAGAGGAAACCATTTGTAGTAGATAGCACTCCCTTGGAAAAAAGTGAAGAAAGAGACAAGAAAAACGTATTCATGTTTTGTAGCTGGTAGACTTTAGAAGTCAAACACACCCATAAAGACACATCAACAAAAATTAAGAACGTAGAATAATCTCCGCAAAAAAACTACGCTCCTAAGTTTTAACTTTAATCAAGGATGTTAGATGAGAACATGCTTTTTTTTGTTGGATCAATTATTTAATAAGAATTAACAGTTCAACAATAATGACTAACAGGGGGCAGAACTACAAGTTATTGTTAAACTTTGTTTTAATGTATTGTTGACTCTGTTTTGAGTAGGAGGCTGAACTAGATGACTCATGAGGTGTCTTCTAACCTGAATGACTCTATACTGCTGGTGATAACTAGGAGCACAAAAAGGCTAACTGTATCACTCTGGAGACTACTGCATCTTACTATTAAAAATGAGTGTAGCCCAAAAGACGATACCCGATAGAGCTACTGATTGGTGCAGAGGCTCAAGTAAGAGAAAAAGTATTTCAGTTGACTCATTCCCAATGCTAAAGATGGAGCCAACTGTCAAAATCAAGTTAGAAAAAAAAGCCTAAACCCAAGGTTGAAACATTTCCTTAACTTTGATCCTCATCTACATAACCTAAAAATGAAAACCTGAAAAAGTTTTCTTTTATTTAGAGTTAAGTCATATACCCTTTGCAGAGTATGCTAGGAACCACATTGACACTCTGATGGATACCACTGACTTTTGGTAGAGTCTCACATGAATAATGAAGTGCAACATCATTAATTCAGTCCACACTCATTTTTAAGGACATATTCTCAGTATCAAAAGAGAAGGTAGTAATTATGAACACAAAATGAATGTTTCTTCCTCTATAATCAGACAGATGTATGCAAGTGGCTATTATCCCTCCCTTTCCTTCAAAAAAATTGGCTATATTTCTTGATCATATAACTTCTTATAGCTGTTGTTAGCTTTTTGTTTTTAAGGCCTGCTTGCCTAAAATCCATTTTCCACAATAATTTAGATTCCATATATTTGTTATTAGGACAAAGATGAGAATTACAAAAGTAAACAGCTGAGCGGAAAAGATGTTGGTAGACTACTCAGAAGTTCTCCAGAATGCTGAGGCTCTACACATGCACACAGATTTTAAAATGTAGTCCTATCTTTAACTAGTACTTCTGTTACGTATTTTGTCTTACTTACAAACACAAAGAGAAAACTCTCTCAAGATGTTACTCAATAGATGTTTACACATTATCTGGTAACAGGTAAGTTCTCAAATTTTAATACACCTGGTAATCTGCTGGTCATAACAGTAAATATTTCTTTGAAATAAATTGAGTTTATGGATTCAACAGCTCCATAATTATA